TTAATACCTTTTCATAGCTCCAAGCTTTCCCTTCCCTATCTTTTGTTGAGGTCCTTGAACTCTGTTAAGAGTATTGTTGAGTGATGATGAGAAATGTCCATTCTTTCTTTTTAGTTTGGTTTATAGGGCTTGGAAGGTTTAGGTTGGTGGGGAAAGCTTTTCTGGTGCCCCTTGTCTTACCTGTAAAGTGAATTTTGATAGCAAGAAAATCATTTACTTAAGCTGTTGTATTGCTATGGGCAAAGTGAAAGTGTCAATTGTTTTCATCTAACTAATATTGTTTGTCATGTCATGGTTTACAGAAAAAAGTTTGTTTAAGACTAAGCAACTCTTGTGCAACTCATTCTAATACTAGAGATTCTGGATTCTATGTTGTATTCTAAATCTGAAGAATGCCATTGTTTGGAACTTGCATTGCATCCAAAGTTTTGTAGGATTCTGTCCATTGCTTCAGTAATGTACTCATAGCTATGGGTGTCATGGTGAAATTAAATGATTTGGAACATTTCTACCTACCATGTATCAATGTGACATTTGGGAAAGAAAATGTCGATGTAGGACTGCGAAATATTCACGTGAAAACATTTCTGCTTTTATACCTATTAGAATTGAGTTTAATAAAGAACGCATTTGAATGGGGATTGATTAAACTCCTGATTTTTTTTTTCTTTCGCTAATTCATATTGATGGATTTATTAAAGAGGGAAAATACTAGAAACTTTCAGAAAACACCGATTAAATATTATCTTTTACTTGAATATTAGTTTGCTCATTTTATCTATTATAAGGATGTATAAATAAACTATTTTTTTTCTTTTATCATGTTTTCTGTAACATCCCAAAATACAGTAATAACCATAATCAGAATTAATTACATTCAACAGTAAAACAGTGCAGTCTTTACATAAAGATACGGGGTTCAAACAGCCGAACGACTTAAAGTATAGAATTGCATACAAATACAGCAGTAACAGGAGTTTAGAGACGAACGGTTTACAAAACTTTAACCGAACGTTCCAAGTAAGACTAAAAGACTAACAAAATGAAAACCTAGCGAGCGCTCTAAGGCTCGGCTTTAACTTCTACTTCAACCAAATTAGCGTCTTCCAAATTTTCTTCTTCTAGCATTTCTTCAAGAGACGCACCTCCATCTGCTCACATCCACACGGATGATCATTGCAATAACAGGACGAACGTACAAATACGATAGATAACACAAGGAAAACGAAAGGGTAAGCTTATGTAATTTAATTTATACATCAACATATACAATAAACATTTCATTCCACACAAGCACATAATTTAACATATAACATCATCCAAAATCTATATATATACTAGACCGACCGTCCGGACTGTATGAATCTGTGTAGTTACAAGCGTCCTTGCACCCGAGTGATGTAGTAACTGGGATACACTCAACAGCTGCCACTCGAGGATAGTCCGTTCTTACGTCGCCCATGTTAACTTATGGACTAAGGACCTCCTGCCGTTCCCACACATGACATACTCCCTCTACATGAGGATGAGTACTCACGGAACATAAAGATGGACAGCAAGTCTTAACTTATCCACAGTCATACTTTACTAAATTTAATATTCAATATATGTAAGAGTCGTTCCTCCCTGGAACGCTTGTTCAAATTCCATAATCGTATAACCATTCAATATAGTGTTCACACTTCAACATCTTATAATTTATCATCATCTTTATCTTCAGTTTTGAAAGTATAAAATAACGAACGTTCATACTTCTGAAGAACGAAGACGAACGCTAAAGACTAGATTTAGCAGACTCGTTGCCAAACAGAATAAGTTGACACATACTTATATGACGAACGTCACTGCTACTCGAATCAGTTGAATGAATCGACTCTTAGAGATATACAATCAATGTTCAGAATAATTTAGGTACAAAGACTCTAGGCCGAATCCAAATGAATAAAGACACAACAAGACAAATAATTAATTATACTGAGAACAATTTGTTTAAAGGGATCGACTGCCAGTCAATGACTGAACGCGATAATATACATTTACTAATAATTTGGACGAACGCTATTTACGCTCATTTAGAAATCAACGGTAAGGACGAGCGTTCGGTATAAGACCGAACACTACTTAGGACGAACGCTTGGTATAAGACCGAGCACTAAAGAGGACGAACGCTCAGTGTAAGACCGAGCGCTACAAGTTTGTAAGTATAAGGGATAATACATTATAACTTAATTTAAATTATAAGGTTACCACTAGGCTGAGCCGAACGCTCAACATAGTATTTCACGGGACGCTCGTTCTCGATCAGAACTCTTTCCAAATGAAAGAATTCCTTTTTTTAAGCAATTGATTAGAAATCGAACGGTATAAGACCGTACGATGACTAACGTATTTTATCATAGTAAGGATTTCATATTTACGATTTTCATCTAGTTCAATTATCAATTTTCACCGTATCAGTTCATACTTTATATTTCATATCAATATCAATTTCCATACTTTATTTGATTCACATTAATCATTCATACTTCAAAGGAATAAATCATCTCATATTCATACGTATCAACCATAAACATACATTTTAACCATCATATATTATATTCATTCAGTACATCAACGTTCGTTCATGCATACTCAACCAGCATACATCTCATTCATTCAGTTCATATCATGCTTGCATACGACATACTAGTATCAATTAAATTACTAAGCTTCCCTTACCTGGATAGCAGTGTACGTCTAATAGTATAACTTGGACTTGCCCAACTATGGCTTTCTACCCTCCACGATCTTTCTTACGCTCTTCAACTAAGTCTAACCAAAGAAAACTCAGAGAACTCAGTTTATACCCTTGCATGCAACTGAATCTTAGTTTGCATGTAACACGGAAACAAACGTCCAAAGTCGAGTGACTTACCGGTTACAGAACTTGGATCTGTTCGGTTCAGATTGAAGCTCACGACGCAGGGAACGTTCCTACGGTTCTGAACGTTGAACTGAGAAGAAACGGGTGAGTAACAGTAGAGAGAAGTTGAAGGATTTCTAGAGAGAAGTTGGAGAAGAAGATAGGTTAGAGTCTTGGTGGAGAAGAAGGTGTCTGTAGAGAGTGGGAGAAGTGTTTTCAGAAAAATTAGTTTTCTTCCCAAGGTCAAACGGACGTGCACTCTCATGCGGACACCTGTTTTCCACTACAGATTCAGAAGGTTCCAAAGTGACACTTGGCAGGCGTGCGTCAGAGTGTGTGAGTGCGTTTTTAATGAGACTGAATGTGTGTCGTGGTGCATTAATGAGAGCAGACAGGTGACTCAGCAGTGCATTAATTTGATTAGACAGATGACTTACGGTTTAATTTTCCAAGGCCTCACATTTTCTCTGATAAGAAATTATTTCCCTGTATAAATAAGCCTAATTTGAAAAAAGTTTCCAAGACACCATATTGATGAAACTAACACATTGTATACATAACTGAAAAGAAAAAAAATACTTTAATCACTAGTTTAATTAACAATAGTGGTATATTGATATTCTACAAAATCACATTCATTGTTTAATTTCATGAAAATTATCAAGCAGTTATGCTCAATTATGGACCACTTAACCCAATCACTCTCTCAACATTTTTTTTCCATGTTTAATGACTCTTAATTTCCTAATGTTGTGTTTGAACGAGACAATAGAAGAAAGTATTTTATTTATTTTGGAGAAATTGAAATTTTTTTGAAGTAAAATGACTTGTTTGGATGGAAAAATTGAAAAGAAATTAAAATTAACTTTTTTAATAAAGTATTTTAAATAATTAAATTAATAAAATCTAAAATTCAATAAAAAAAGAAATTGAAATTTCATAAGTTGTGATATTCTTCCATCGTCATGATGAAAAAGTTCACAAGTTTCAAAAGTCAACTCATATCGACCTTTAGATTATTTTACACTTGACTCACCTTCAGTTAAAGTAAAAGGTCAAGTCAATTATGCTTAAGCCAATGATTAGGTCAAATAGACCAAAATCGAAAATTTACTCAAAGTAAAGGTCGAACCATATCGGTTCTTGCTAATTTGGCATAAATTGAATGTTAAGCCTATTTGGCAAAAATAGAAAGTTGAGTTGAACCAACTTTAATCGAAGGTCAAGTTGAGTCAATTGAGATTGTAGCTCAAACCAAGTCAACTAGGGCTGAAGGTTAAGTTGAGTCGGTTCGGACTGAATGTTGAGTCGAATGGATCTGTGTAGAGTCAAGCCAGTTCAAGTCAATCCAGCCCTAGTCGAAGATAGTATCTAGTCGATACAAGTCGAAAATCGAGTCGAGTTTACCTTGAAATTGAGACAAGTTGTCCTAAATAAAAGATTGAGTTAACTCAACTTATATTCAAAGATGAAGTTAAATTTACCTTAAAATAGAAATTAAATTACTTAATCTAATAAAAAAATTAAAATCTAAAATATTTTAATTACTTTATCTAAACAAACTATTTAAAAAAAAACTTTAATTATAAATAATCCGAATACTATATATTTCAATTTATTGAAATGGTTGAAATTTCTCATCTGAACACAATGTTAATCATTGTCCAACGATTAAGTGCTTGCTTGAAAATCTATTTGACTGTCCAAAATCATACATAAAGTAAAAATTATTTAAGTGTTTTGAGTAATAAACGAAATTATGCAAACATACGCGAAAAGTCTTTGAACACACTGAAGTATTATAATATTCTCGTTTCTCTTATTCTAATTTTAAAATATATATAACTCAGTTAAAATTGACACGAAATAAGCACTTTGTAAATCTCCATGACACAATTACTGTCACTTTAATTTTAACATCGTGTCACTTTAATCAGTTCTCTTTTCGTGGATTCATGTCTGTCTGTAGAACTGTAAAATAAAGTTTATAAAACGACCAAGTCTGGTGGCAAAAACTGGTGGTTAGATGAATCCACACACATGCGACGCATAGATGTACAGCGACAACCTAAACTAAGTCCCATTAACCAACCAAACATCATAAAGCTAATTATTAAGTCTACAATTCTCTCTTTATTTATTTTCCTAATTATTTATACTCCCAGTATCAGGTAGTAGTATTATTATTTTACCCAAAATAAAACCCCATTTATTTACAAATAAAGTCCCTGTTTTTCTGAAAAAAGGGCTTGGGAATTGGGAAGAAGAAGAAAGGGTTGGCTTTTGCGACACACTGCGAGTGAGTGAGAGAAATGGGAGAGGGAGAGAACATAGAAGTGGAAACAGAAACAGAATCCGAAGCATCATCGTCCTGGAACCTCGGAAAACACACTCAGATAATCGAGCTGTCGGAGAAGTTGTTGGACGGGAACCTCAGCGCCAAGATTGAGGCTGCTAGGGAGATAAGGAAGATGGTTCGGAAATCATCGCCCTCGTCGAAGATACGTGCGAAGCTCGCCGCAGCGGGTGTGATTGAACCCCTCGTGCTGATGCTGTCTTCTTCCAACATCGAAGCTCGCCAATCCTCTCTTCTCGCTCTCCTCAACCTCGCTGTTCGCAATGAACGGTACCCTTTTTCCCAAAATGCATGCTTTTTTTTATTTCTCAAATGGGTCTGCGAGTTCGGTTAATGGGTCTTTGTGTAATATTGTTTGGTTCGTTTGAATCTGATTTTTGTGTTGGTATGTGTTTTGTATGTGGATATGAAGTGTTACTATGATTGGTGTTACTTTCCATGTTCTCAAGGTAGTGGGAAAGGGATGGGTTCGTTGATTTTATCCCAACCAAAAAAAGAAAAAAAGATTATTTCCTTTTAATTCATAAATCGTACTGCGGTATCTAGTTGATGGGTGGTTGAAGTTTCTCGTTATTTTTCGTGATACTGTTCAAAGAAAACTATACATTTTGTTCGAAACAGCTTCTCTAAATTATGTGAATGGTACATGTTTTGTTAGTTTGTTTTTGGATTAACTTATTTGGTGTTCAAGCTGCTGCAGAAATATCCTTAAGCTGATAAAAAGCTGTTTTGGCATAAAAACTAAGCAATTTGGAACTAAGATTAACTTATAGTCTTAAATTCATGATATATGTTTGATCTTCTTGTATAAAGATCAACATTGCAACTGGATAGCGTTTATTGAAGGTTACCTGGCTTGTTTTGTAGGATGTGTTTGTGTTTTGGTATTCTTCTCTGATCTTCTTTTTAGAGTTTTATTTTTTTTAATGGTCATGTATGGTCAATTTAAGGCATGACATTACCAGATATAGTTTCTGTTTTATCCTGAGCAGTTCTCAAAAAATAACATGACATTTGCAACTGAATTTCCATGATTTTATCAATGTAGTTAGTACTAAGCTTAAACGGAAAAAAAGGAGAAGATACTCTACCTGTTCTAGCCTGAAGCTGTGAAAATGATCTAGGGTGGTTATTATAATGGAATGCCGCGAGGCTGAATGTATATGCAGTAACATTTCTTTGGGTGAGGTGCGTGGGTTGATACTTTAATGTGTCTAGGCTAAAAATGAACACATGAGAGAAATTTTTGGTAACCCGTAATTTAATATACCTTTTAATTTTAAGGGCATCTTTACCTGGAATGCATACTGCACCTACTAATGATTATTGTGATGAAATAAGAAATTCTGTTAAATGTCTGCCAGCTCTTGTCAACACATGTTCTTCTTTGATGTGGGAGTTTTTTTTAGAATGAGGTTCAAAGTGGTCAAATTGGATCTAGGGTATACCCCATCAGTTTAATGCATTGTTATCAGTATTGTGCATATGATACAATTGATTCAATACAAGGATCTTTTGATGCAAATCATGTTATAAATATTTTGGTGCTTGAATAAGAGGAATCACAAGGTAGTGACTTGTTGCACGTGAATTGTATGATTCTAGCACAACACACAAGCAAGTTGTGCCCAACTCCAGTTGGGTTTTGCATGACTTGCTCATGAAAGCTATAAAAATAGCTCCCCTCCCCAAAGAAAATTAGTTGAAAAGAAGGAATAGGCTGACAATATCACGATTGTTAGAATAATTACATCTATGTATCATTACTAAGCCTAAGTAGGGTATAGTGTGTTAAAAAATTTATTAGTTGTACCTATAGTCGGACATAATTCTGGTGTCTAGTGTAGTTCCTTAATCATCCATGTACTCTTGAATCAATTTTTTTATTATAAATAGAAGATTATGAGAGGGTCTCTTAAGCCCTTCAAAATATATTTCTCTGTTTTTAATCTTAGGGGTATAAGAGACCACTGTCCCAGTTTCACCTGGTGACCACCGGATCTGGTTTGCCTCTTTGAGCGACAACTAACCCTGCCGGTGTTGAAGGCCAGTTTACTGCCACACATCGCAACATTCTTCTTCTCTATCCACCTCAACCAGGTGTGTGTTGTCCATGTGCCGCCGTGACATCATCGGAACGTCACTGCACCACCTTTATAGTTGTCGCAGAGCCTCCTCTCTTTGTTCTGACCTTTGAAACTTCATTTCGGTGGAGTCCAGAAGTCACCCTAGAAACTTCCCTTGCTGTTTTCACATCTTCTCCCTGGTTTTTTGTCTCCTTGGTTAGAAATGGCTACCGGGAATGCTATTTCATTATCTGGAAGTCCCTCTGTTACTTCTGAGAAGTTAAATGGACAAAATTATCTATCTTGGTCTCCTGCTGTTGAAATATGATTTGGCCAAAGACATCATGACCACCTTGAGCAAGATGGAAGCCATGAACCTGCTGAAAAAGTTGAACGGTGGGAACAAGTTGATTTCCAACTGTGTACCCTGTTGTGACAATTTGTGAAACCAAGACTTCTGACGTCCCTTAGAGCTTTCAAAACATGCCACTCTTTTTGGAAGAAAGCTCAAAACATCTACGCCAATAATATCCAATGTCTCTTTGATTCTACAAACAATCTTGCATCTCTCAAAATGACTGACCATGACACGATATCCTTCATGGCTGAAGCCCAATCAGCTGTGGAAGAACTAAAGATGTTCTTGGAAGTCGAATCTTTGGATGAAATCAAGAATAAACTTGACAAATATTATATGGTGATGATCCTTCGTGCTTTACCGACTTTAATCATGTCAGAGATCAAGTTTTGACAAGTCATGAGGTCCCTTCAATGGATTTCTTGACCATACACCTTTGTCCCAACGCCTCAAACTAAGGAAGCTCATGAACTAGTGAAATCATTCGTCGTGATTGCCACACTCGGAAGAGGAGGACGTGGAGATCGAGGGCGTCCTCAGTGCACATACTGTAAAAGGATGGGTCACACCAAGAAAATTGTTACTCTCTATATGGTTACCCTACCAACATAACCAATGTCTCTAAAGTTGAAACAACCGACTCCAAATTCACTGAGGATGAATATCAAGAGTATCCAAGGTTAAAGTTTAACAGCTTGGCGCAAACATCTAAAACTCCAAGTACATCAACAACTTGCAGTTCTCAATCCATGGAAGGTCAAAACTTGTGGACAATTGGCTCAGGCGCTTCTAATCACATCTCTGGTAATGCTTCCTTGTTCTCATCCCTTTCCTTTCAAAGAAACCATCATTTCATAACCTTGACAAATGACTCTAAAACTTCATCAAAGGGAGTTGTTCAAGTGTCACTTTCCCCTTCCCTAAATCTTAAATTTGTTCTTTTTGTTCCTAATTGTCCTTTCAATTTGATTTCATTAAGCAATTAACCAAAACATTAAATTGCTAAATAACCTTTAATAACAAATCCTTTATTATACAAGAGCGTGGTTCAGGGAGACAAATTGGAGAAGGATATGAAGCTGAAGGTTTATACCATCTTGGATCTAGTCCCCACGTGTCCCTTGTTGCATCTCCAAGTCCTAAATTGTTACCTGATCGGTTAGGTCATCTGCATATGTCAAAACTAAAGAAAATGGCCCTTGAACTTAGTAGTCCCCAGACTTTAGAATGTAAGTCTTGTCAACTAGGAAAACATGTTAGATCTACCTTTCCTAAAAGGTTTGAATCAAGGTGTAATTCTATTTTTTCTATCATTCATTCTAATATTTGGGGACCTAGCCATGTCTCTTTTTTTGGTTTTAAGTATTTTGTGACGTTCATTGATGAATATTCAAGATGTACTTAGATTTGTCTTATTAAAGACCGTTTTGAATTATTGTCTATTTTTACAACTCTTTTGAACGAGATCAAGAATCAATTCAGTCAAGTAATCAAAATTTTCAGACGTGATAATGCCAAAGAGTAATTCCCATCTAATTTCTCTACTGTCTTAAGTTCACTTGGTATATTACATTAGTCTACTTGTCCTTATACACCCTAACAAAATGGTATAGCAGAAAGGAAAACTAGGGACTTAGTGGAGACTACTCGTACCTTATTGCTTGGTGTAAATATTCTTGTCGATCATGGGGTGATGCCATGCTAACCGCATGTTTTCTTATTAACAGGATGTCATTCTCCTCCCTCAATAATAAGGTTCCTTTTTCAATTCTTTTTCCAAATGATTCTCTCTTTCACATTTCTCATCAAGTGTTTGGTTGTATTTGTTTTGTTCAAGACATGTTTCTAGGGTTGGACAAATTGTCTGCACATGCAATCAAATGTGTCTTCTTGGAGTATTCTCAACTTCAAAAAGGGTACTGGTGTTACTCTCCTAAAACCAAGAAGTATTATATGTTTGCTAAGGTTGCATTCTTTGAACAGACTCCTTACTTCTCTCCATTGTTCCAGATATTCATTCCATACAAGATGTCCTTCCTATACCAATGGCTGAGTCCAATATTCCTATGAGTCCAATGTTCGTAGTGTTTTTTCCAATTCTCGCTTAATCAAAGTCCTCATGTACCATCATCTCCACCTATTGATATCCTCTAGCATAGGACCCCAAGGAATAGTCCAATTGTTAAAGAACATGGTGAATCCTCTACTTCAAATTCTTCTCCCTCGTCACTCGATACCACAACTCCTGGTGAAGATGATTTAGGCTGGCCCACTATTGTTAGAAAAGGTACTCATTCCACTCAAAACCCACATCCTATTTATAATTTTCTAAGTTATCATGGATTGTCGCATTCCTATTATTCTTTTCTATCCTCAATGTCTTCTATTACCATTCCAAAAGTGTGAAGGCTCTTGACTAAAGTAATACTTAAGAGTTAGTTTCCCTTCCACTTGGCGAAAAAGTTGTTGGATGTTGGTGGGTTTATACCATTAAAGTTGGCCTTAATGATGAAGTCAATCGTCTCAAGGAACGATTAATTGCAGAAGAGTACACTTAAGTTTATGGCCTCGATTATCGTGATATTTTCTCTCAAGTGGCCAAGATGACTATTATTCATCTCTTCTTTACCATGGTAGCAATTCGTCATTGGCCGCTCCACCAACTAAATATCAAAAATGCCTTTCTACATGGTGATCTTGCAAAAGAAGTATACATGGATCAACCTCCTTAGTTTGTTGCTTAGGGGGAGTCTGGTAAGGTTTGTAAGTTGTGTTGTTCTCTTTATGGCCTCAAGCAATCATCATGCGCTTGGTTTGGTAAGTTCAACTCAGTTGTCCAAACTTTTGGGCTACGTTTAATTTTTTTTTACAATACCCCTCTTGGGAAATGTATTTACCTAATAGTCTATATTGATGATATAGTCATTATAGGAAATGTTGTTACTGGAATTGCTCAATTGAATGAGTACACTTGCAAACATTTTCAAACCAAGGATCTTGGAAGTCTTATATTTTTTGGGTATTGAGGTTAGCTCAATCAAAAGATGGGATTGTAATCTCTTAAAGGAAGAAAAATATAGGCAGATTGTTGGAAAGCTAATGTATCTTACTATTACGAGGCCTGGGCTATCTTTTGCCGTTGGAGTGATTAGTCTATTTATGCGGGCCCCATGTATTGGCCATTGGAATGCCATCATTTGCTTTCTAAGATACCTCAAAAAGGCTCCAGGACTAGGTTTGCTATATGAAGGTAGAGGAAATGTCCAAGTCTCTAGATATTGTGATGCTGATTAGACAAACTCCCCCACTGATAGGCACTCTACTACAAGATATTGTATTTTTCTTAAAAGAAATGTTATCTCATGGAAAAGTAAGAAGCAAAATGTGACGGCCGGGTCAACTACTGAAGCTAAATATAGGGCAATGATGTCTCTCACTTGCGAACTTATATGGGTAAAACAATTTCTTTGAGAGCTTAAGTTCTGTTAAGTTCAGACCATGAAGAGATCATGAAGATGTATTGCATCAAATCTAGTGTTTCATGAGAGGACTAAATACATAGAAATTAACTATCATTTTGTTTGGAAAAAAGTTGTTGTCCAAAGAAATTTATACTGAGTTTGTTGGATCAAATGACCAACTTGCAAATAGTTGACCAAGTCCTTAAGAGGACCTCAGATTGAGTTCATTTGTTTCAAGCTTGGGACATACAATTTGTATGCTCCAGCTTGAGGGGGAATCTTAGATTAATTACATCTATGTGTCATCATTAAGCCTAAGTAGGGTGTATGTTATACAATTTAGTACCTAGTTTTGCACCTAGTGTTTAGTGTAGTTCCTTAATATTCCATGTACTCTTGAATCAGTTTTTTTCATTATAAATAGAAGATTATGAAAGGGGTCTCTTAAGCCCTTCAAAATATATTTTTCTATTTTTAATCCTTAGTGGACAATGAATTGTGTCTTTGTGGTGGATGGATATGTGGGTTATATCTGATTAAGTTGGTAAGAATTGGCACAGATGTGGGGTTTGGATCAGTGCCTTGACTTGGTCCACTGCCCAAACAATGGGTAAAGAATATGACATGAACTTGTTTATGAGGATATGTACTAGATTATAAATTAATTCATACCTAAATTTTGAATCTTAAATTGGATTATATAACGAATAGTAAGATACTGAATTACTGATCAATAATTCCTACCAACTTGAAGTATGTTTTCATGTGAAAAAACATTTAAAATATTACAGAGATATTAGAGTCTAAGAACTCGGTGCATAAGCAGTAAACAGAGATATAAAATTCAAAGTAAAACAAGATTAAAATCATAAATCAAAATTGCAAGAAGAATAACTGCACAAAGTGGTTCAACCCCTCATGAAAGTACCAATATAGATGACAGATTAATATTTCCTGTTACAGTGCATAAGCTAGTCGTCTAATGATTTTTTCATTCATCATCCCCAAGATCAAAGTCACTTTTTTCATCCTTGTCCTCTGATATCAAAAGCAATGACATTGATGAACTTTTGCAACTTTTTTTGTAATTTTCTAGCAACTTCAGAAAGATTACCATAACTTTGTCAGGAGCAGATGTACTAGCATCCACATTCTCATTTGTTTCAGCAAGTTGATACTTCATCCTTGCGACAACACCCGAACAAGTATGCAACAATCGTTTGCATTTGTCTGAAAGTGTATGCATAGAAACATAACACTTATAGAAACATAACACTTATAGAGTGGTTCCACATGACCACCTCAATGTCCTTTTTACTTGTTTTTCCCATTTGCCCCACTAAAAAGCATCACAGCAATGACAATGAGTAGGAACCTTTTCAACAAATGGCAGAAAGGGACAAGTGGGGACCAACAATCTGTGCAGCACTGTGGGAGGAAAAACAAAGCATAAAAAGCTCTATGGGTATTCATTATTCATATCTTTGGATACCATTACCTGATTTGGTGGTGACTCAGACATTTTCGGGTGCGGTATATCTTAAGTACTAATTTTTTGTTTCAATGCTAGAAAATTCATGTTTACCAGTAGACTCTGCCTAAAATGGTCGAAACATTTTGTATCATCTTCAATGTTGTCTTCTGCAGTTCTTTTTGTTATTACTATGTATTTCATGCTTTAAGTCCTTCTCTTCGTTCTTTTGTGAATTCGGCTTTTCTTAAAAAATAGTTCTTTGCATAACGTTTCGGAGTTCATATTTGTTAGAAACAAGGTCAAAATAGTGACAGATGGTGCCATGCCTCCACTGGTGGAGCTCCTCAAGATGAAAAGTAGCGGTATACGAGAATTAGCTACAGCTGCAGTCTTGTCACTCTCAGCTGCTGCATCCAACAAGCCCATTATTGCTGCTTCTGGAGCCGCACCTTTCCTTGTTCAGATTCTCAAATCTGGAACTGTTCAAGGCAAAGTTGATGCTGTTACAGCACTCCATAATCTTTCTACCAGCAATGAGAATTCCATTGAACTTCTTGATCCAAGTGCTGTTTTCCCTCTGATCAACCTTCTCAAAGAGTGCAAGAAGTATTCCAAGTTTGCGGAAAAAGCCACATCACTGCTTGAAATCCTGTCCAACTCTGAAGAAGGGCGAACTGCAATCTCAATTGCAGATGGTGGAATCTTAACCCTAGTTGAGACAGTTGAAGACGGATCACTTGTCAGCACAGAACATGCTGTAGGAGCTCTGCTATCTTTATGCCGAAGCTGCCGGGATAAATACCGGGAACTGATTCTTAAAGAAGGAGCGATTCCGGGTCTGCTACGTCTGACCGTGGAGGGCACGGCTGAAGCTCAAGATAGAGCTCGTGTGCTTCTGGATTTGCTCAGAGATTCTTCCCCAGAAAAGAGACTAACCTCATCAGTTTTGGAGAAAATTGTTTATGACATTGCTGAACGAGTAGATGGAGCAGATAAAGCTGCTGAAACTGCCAAACAGTTGTTGCAAGATATGGTTCAAAGGAGTATGGAACATAGCATGAAATGCATCCAGCATAGGGCTGCATCTTGCACTCCTTCTATTCCTTCCACTTGATGTGTACCTTTTTTTCCTCATCAAGCAACTGCACAATTGAGTTTTAACTTGTAAATATGTGTTTTCATTTTTTTTCTCTGGGGGGCTAGTTGTGTTAACTAGATCACCATGGAAAGTGAGTCTATGTTGCTCTCCTACATGACTGTGTATTGATGTTTACTAGACTAACATGAGATTGATCTACTGACCTCAGCACTCAATTAATTACACTGCATACTTTCACGAGGATGTTGTGCATTACACCTACAAAGGATTCTGTACTTGCATGTATTTCTTTCTCAGATCACGAATTTAAGAAAGGTTGCTATTTTATACACACAATGGTTGTAATTAGGCCACCATTTTTTTTATATTAAGGACATGACCGGGTAAAATTAGTTATAAAGCCATTTTAAAACTAAAAGGTTAGTAAAGGAATGAAAATAATTTTAGTTTTAAGAAATAAAATTTATAGGTTTAAATACATTTTTAGTCTGCAATGTAATTAATTTCTTTTTTTACTTTTTACTGTTTTGAATTTGCCAAATGTTATAATAGAGTTAGACTTTGTTAATGATGTGAAATGTTATTCTTTTTGGATATGTTGATAATGTGATAAATAATGATATAAGGTTTTTATTCAAATTGATACATTTGAAATACTACAATCAATAGATATTATCCGCCTATCTCTATATTATATTTATTTTTGGTGTCTTTTGACTATATTATATTTATTTTTGGTGTCAGAGAGTCAAGCATGTGAGTTTAAATTAAGTTTCACAATATTAACAATTCTATCATTTAGAACTTGGTTTACACATTATTAGCTAGTGTAGTTGTTTTTCATCATTAATTATTTTTGAAGGCTAGTTGAGGCAATACAAAGTTTCAACTTATTTGTTATGATCTTGGTCAACATATCAGTTGGGTTCTCTACACTTGGAATCTTCGACAAAAACAAGTCTCTATCAATTATCAAACTTTTTTATAAAATAATACTTCAATTAAATGTGCTTGCATCTAGAATGAAGAATTTGACTTTTAGCAAGATATATAACACTTTGACTATCACTGAACAATGGAGGGTCATCTTGCTCTTTTCCTAATTCGTTTAGGAGATTCTTCAACAATATCATCTGTCTCGCTTCTTAGATAGTTACACACTCAGTTTCAGTGGTTGAGAGGGAGATTTTTCCTTGAAGTTTAGACTTTCAACTTATAGTGGTTCCACTTAACATAAAAATGTAACCTATTGTGCTTTTTCTTCCATTCAAATCTCCTTCCAAGTCTACATCATAAAATACTTGTAAAGTGTTATTACTTCTTCTAAAAGACAAATGCGTCTTTGAAGTGCCCCTCAAATATCTCAATATCCACTTCACACCTTCCTAATGCTACTTTATGGGATTTAATACAAACCCACTCATAACTCCCATTGCATGTGATATGTCAAGTCTGGTGCAAACCATATACATCAATCTCCCTTCTACATATGCATATGGAACTTTAGACATGTAACTTTATTCGTCATCTGTTTAAGAAGATTACCCTTTTGAAAACTTTAAATGAGCTCCCAAAGGTGTATTCTTGGTTTTAGCATTTCAAACATTGAATCTGTTAAGCAAATTTTCCATATATTTCTCCTGAGATCAATTCAAAATACCTTCAGATCTATCCCTAGAGATTCTCATACCAATAATTTGTTTAGTTGGACTAAGATCCTTCGTTTCAAAATTTTCTAACAATTGTTTTTTCAGCTTGTTAATTTTTACCATATTGGCTCTTGTTATCAACATGTCATCAACATATAAAGCAATAATGAAATCTCGAGTTTCTCATAAATTCATTAATCTTCTTGTACCATTGTATTAGTGCTTGTTTTAATTCATACAAGCTTTTATGAAGCTTGCATACAAGATTCTCTTGGCCTCGTGTATCAAAACCTTTTGGTTGTGTCATAAAGATTTTCTCCTCAAGATCCCTATGTAGGAATGCAATTTTGACATCTAAGTGTTCTAGATGAAGATTTTCTACAGCTACTATACTCAAGCTAACTCTAATGGTAGTCATCTTGACAATAGGAAAGAAAATTTTTGCGAAATTAATACCCTATTTCTATTGGAACACTTCTACTCCGCGTTTAGTCTTATATTTTCTATTGCCATTGGTTTCTTCTTTTAACCTATAGACCTACTTGGTTTGAAAAACCTTTTTTCCTTCCCGTAACTTGGTTAAAGACCATGTTTTATTCTTCTAAAGAGACTTTATCTCATATTTCATTACTAGCTCCCACTTAACATATTCATCTCCTTGTATAGCCTCAACAAAATACTCTGGCTCAACAGCATCAGTCGACAAAAGGTAGTGATGAAGGAGAATACCTTTGTGGAGTTATAATTGTTTTGCCAGATCTTCTAATCATGACTTCAAGAGTTTCTAACTTTACTATATGTTTAGGTTCTAACTCAAGCTCTACCTCTATATTCAACCTTTTGTTAACTACATCACTTTCTGAAATTTCTTCTAATGATACTTGCTCTAGTTGTTCATTTACCGATTCTACAGTCCTATCTTTATAGAAGATGTTTTCATTAAAAGTGACATTTCTGCTTCTGATAATTTTTTTGTTTTGGTCATCCCAAAACCTGTAGCCATACATGTCAGATCCATAGCTAATGAAATAACATAATTTTGCCTTACAGTCTAGTTTATCTCTAATATTAGAGTTCAATAGAATATATGAAGTATAACCAGCGACTTTCAAGTATGAGAGTCTTACCTCGTTTCCAAACCACACCTCTTCAGGTAACTTATAATTTAAAGGAATGATGATCCTCTATTTATAAGATAGACTATTGTGTTTATTGTATATGCCCACAATACCTTGGGTAGTCCTTACTAGATTCTCATACATCTTACTCTCTTATTTAAGGTTTTGTTCATTCTTTCTGTCACGCCATTTTTTTCTGGTGTTCTTGGAAATGTCTTGATCATTATGATCCCATTCTTTGAAGAAAACTCTTTGAATTCACTACTGTCATATTCTCCACCATTACCAAACTTCAAACATTTAACTTTTAAACATGTTTAAGTCTCAACCTTTTTTTTCCACCTTTTAAACACAAAAAAGACATCAGATTTATTCTTTAAAAAGTAGATCCATACCTTTCTTATAGAATCATCAATGAAGGTTACATAATAATATGAACCGCAAGGGATTTTACTGGAGTTGGCACCCACTGTTTTGAAGAAGCTAACTTTTTTCTACTTTTCAAAGATACAATGTTCACAAGGCCGAACGTCAACATACTTAAAGTTAGGTATTTTACCTTTTGAGATCATGAGTTTCATTCCTTTCTTTCTCATATGCCCAAGTCTTTGATGTCACAGAGATGAACTATTGCCAACTTTTGCAACTTATATCATATCCTCATCTGTAATCATGTAAAGAGATCATTGTTTCTTTCCACGAGCAACAACAATATTGCCTTTCATTACCTTTCAATGACCATCTCTAAAAGTGGTGTAATGCCCCTCATTATCTAACTGTCCTATAGATATTAAGTTTCTCTTTAAGGTAGGAATATGTTTGACATTATTCAAGTCCACACGCTTCCATTAGAGGTTATGATGTTAATAATCATGTTTTCCCACAATATCAAGAGATTTTCCATCTGCAAGGTAAACCTTCCCAAACTTTCCAAAAATATAGTTAAATAATAATTTAGAGAAGTTGTGGGAGCTTTCTTCAAATGTAGCAAGGGTAATGACATTGGAAGAAGGGAAGGTGAAGATTGTGAAGTTCAGTGACAATGACTTCGGGTTCTGGAAGATGCAGATAAAGGACTACTTGTATAAGAAGAAGTTATATCTACCCTTAAGAGGGTAGAAGCCAAATGACATGAAACAATCATATATGGAGTTGTTAGATTGGCATACACTTGGTGTGATTTGGCTGATATTAGCCAAGAATGTTGCGTTCAACATCATGAACGAAAAAACAACCGTAGATATGATGCAAACTTTTTCAAATATGTATGAGAAGCCATCTACAACCACTAAACTACTCCTACAAACATCTTCGCTTAAGATCAAGTGATAGATGTTATCAAAATTCAACTTGTTGTTGCTTGCAGAATTACTACCTACAATAACAGTTGCACCCTCAACTTTTTAGAAGAGACAATAATAAAACTAATTTTTTTATTTCATCATCAAAAGTTATCTGCAGTGATGTCAATTGTGCAATAATTGTATTAAATTTACTAATATGATGAGTAAATGAGTTACCTTCAACCATTTTGAGGTTGACAAGTCTGCGAATCAAATGCACTTTATTGGATGCAAATGACTTTTCATACACATCTGACAATGCCTGCATCAAGTATGCGATTTTGTTTTTCATTCATGATGTTGAACGCAACATTCTTGGCGAATGTCAATCGAATCACAGCAAGTGTCTATCGATCTAACAAGTCTCAATTTAATTATTCCATATGGTCTGTATTCTGCCCTTTTAAGGGTAGATACAAATTTTTCTCATACATGTAGTCCTCTATTTTTATCTTCTAAAACTCAAAGTCGCTACCATCAAACTTCTCAATCTTCACCTTTCCCTTGAAATAAAAGAATAATTTTTATTATTATCATTCATACCTATTACATTTTCCTTAAACCTATTTGTAAGTTTCTATGCTATTTGTTTTCTTTCCTCTGTCATGATAGTATGATAATACGTGAGCAACAATAGGTGCATATGAATCTAGTAACTCTGAAGTTGAGACAAGACTTTGAAGACAAGATATAATTAGTTAAATAAAAACACCTTTATTCTTTTGAAATGAATGTCTCTAGATAAAACTTCGTCTTTTATGAAACTCAAAATTGCTAGTGTTTTGTTTGTAATGACCCTAATTGACACACTTATATATATATATATATATATATATATATATATATATATCATTAGTTATATCACATGGCTAAGTATATGTATCTTTGTTAAAGAGAAATTTATCATGTTACAAAAATAGCTCAATCACCAAGCATAACATCAACATATAATCAACACAAAGGATAAAAAAAAAGTAATATTAAATAAAATAATCAAAAATCCAAAATAAGTCAATCCTTGTATTTATTTATATAATTCATCAGAGATACTTATCATAGCTTTATCATCACCATCATAAATTATTACTCCTT